GTTTGCTGTTGCTAAATTAACATTTTTCATCTTTTTCTCTCACTTCTATTTCCTATATGACCATCATATTGTTCATCCACATCTTTCTTTTCCTTATTTTATCCTATATTTTTGTCTACTTCTTGCACAATTAGAAAGAAGATGTATCACAGCATCTTCTTTATTTTTCTTCGCTTTGACAAGAAGTAAGAAGGATTCACATCGATCACTTTCTTTCTTCTCTTTATTTTTCTGAATATTTTCCATACGTGTACCTATATAGGATGGATATGAGTAGCTAGTTTTTCGAAATAAAATGACTTCGCGGATAAAGAAAATATTCTTCTTCTCGCTTGATCAACTCAATTACAAAAGGACCTTATAACTATAAAGAAGAAAATGTGTTTGTTTATTCTTTATGCTGTATAATAATAAACCACATTGCTCTATTTTTACATTTTGTCTTACAAGGAAAGTATATCAATAAACAATCTGACTAATTCCCTTGAATAAAACATGTTGAATGTAAATTTAAGTATTTTTCTTCAAATAATCAAATAGTATAATTCTTTCAAGAAAACTAGACCAGTCGTATTTTCTGCTTTATCACAAAATTCTTATATTTCATCAATCAAAGCTTTGCTCAATATGATCATTTTATTTAAAATGAGAAAATAGAGAAAGTTTAATTTTAATTTCCTCGATTTAAACATCAACTTATGAAATATAAATGCGATTAATATTGAAAAAAAGATTTTATTAAAAAATAAATAATTACATTTTATTACTTGAAATTGTATTTCTAAAACTAATTATCAGTTGTTATCAAAGAAAGGACAAACCATTTTGTAATAATTAAAGAATTAGTATGAGTCTGCCGAATTCTATCAAGTGATCGTGTGAGTTTTATATATATCTTAAATAGAGGTTCATATGACCCATTTGCTCTGCTTATCAAACAATAATTTCTGAAATTATTATAGATCAGACAAATGAAATGAAAACATAAGATAATCTATCTATCCGTCGTACTTTCAAAAATTTTAATGCAAACTCTTATTCTTAAATATAATTATGACCAATAACATCGAAAAGATTTTCTTTGATGTTTTATTTTAAAGTATTTATTTCTATTTGCACACTTCCGAATTCGAGAAAAATAAAATATCAATAAAAATTTCCAATATTCAAACGAAACACATTTACTTCCTATTTATTTTCTTTTATAAAAAAAATTTCATATGAATAATCAAAATAATTATAGGCGAATCTTCATTTTGTATCATTTAATTCATATATATTTGTCGTTCTTGTTATTGATAGAAACAAAATACATGAGCATTCTATGTTGTCGTAGATATATACATAGACGTCTCTTTTTTTCTTCCTTTCGACCCAATGTACTTTTATAAAAAAAATTAAGTTTTATGTCACTTAAAAGGAAGTGTTTGATAGTCAACCAACTATCAAAACAAATGCGTTGCTTTACTATATATAAAGAAAATATTATTGACTGTCATATTTTTTATTAATAAAGTATATATTTTTAATATTATTTTTTGAATTCAACAAGCTATATGAAGATAGTGAAGATAATTATTGATATATTTACTAAATATGTAAGGAAGAAATCTAACAATTCCGAAGGCAAATGTACATTACTATCAACTCAAGTGTCTTATGAAGATACTATTCAAAATTTTTGTCTTATATGGTTAGATAAGAATATTGGCGAAGTGAATGATATTGATTGTATGAATATCATTGTACAATTACGACAGGTTATAAATGATATACAAACATTTACCGATGTCGATGAATATGATGTATTTATTAATGATATTACAGATAAAAAAATTTATTTAGTTTCTTCCGGAGCACTCGGTCACACAATTGTTCTAATCATTCATGATAAGGCACAGATAAGTGACATTTATATTTTTTGTGGAAACAAAATTCTACATGAGCAATGGACACAACAATGGTCTAAAGTGAAAGGAGTATTCACAGATATTTCATTAATATGTGAATCACTTACACAAGCCACTCAAAATTCTGAGTCTATGAGTTTTATTGAGACAATTGATGACACTTCAAATATAAATTTAAATAAACTTGATCAATCGTTTATGTATACTCAACTATTGAAAGAAATCTTACTGACTATAGATTTCGAACAAGAATATTTTAATGATTTGCTTATATTTTGTCGAGAATACTTTGCCGATAATAATATTGAATTGAACAATGTCGATAAAATCGAAAAAGAATATCAAGATCAACAATCAATCTGGTGGTATACATATAATTGTTTTCTTTGCTCCATGTCGAATAAAGCATTACATACAATGGAAATTGATCTAATTATTAAATTGGGCGTCTTTATTCGAGATCTTCATCAACATATTGCTAACCTTCATTCCGAACAATATGGTGACCATCATCAATCGAAAACTTTTACCGTATATCGTGGTCAAGGTTTATCTCAGATAGATTTTGATCAATTGGCGAAAAAATACGGTGGGTTATTATCTTTTCATAGTTTTTTATCCACAAGTAAAGATCGAAATTTGTCTCTGGCTTTTGCTCGACAAAGTATTGAAACTTCTCATCCAATAGGTATTCTTTTTATTATGAAAATTGATCCGTCTATATCATCAACACCTTTTGCTAAGATTCATAATGCTAGTGTTCATCATAAAGAAGAAATTCTCTTTTCTATACATGCCGTCTTTCGTATTGGATCAATGAAACTAATCGATAAAACTAATAATCGTCTCTGGCAAGTAGAATTAATATTAACAAATGATAATGATCCACAATTATGTGCTTTAACGAAACATATACGAAAAGAAACATTGTCTAGTTATAAAGGATGGTATCGATTAGGTGCATTATTAATTCAACTAGATCAGTATGATAAAGCTGAGCAACTATATAATTTATTACTTACAAAAGTAACAAAGAAAGGTGAAGAAGCCCATTTAAACCATATGCTAGGAATAGTCAAAAATAATCAAGGAAAATATCAAGAAGCTATTGATCGATATGAAAAATCAATTGAAATCAATCGGGAACTGCTTTCACCAAATTCATCTGCTCTTGCTGCTCCTTACAATGGTCTCGGTTCAGTATATTCTAGTATAAATGACTATTCAAAAGCGCATTCGTATTATGAGAAAGCACTTATTATAAATCGCGCAGTTCTTCCGTTAGATCATCCTGATTTAGCTACGTCTTACAACAATATCGGAGGAATATATGAAAGCATAAAAGAATATCCGAAGGCACCTTCGTATTATAAAAAAGCATTGGAAATCTATCAAAAAACACTCTCTCCAAATCATCCTAATTTGGCTGCTTGTTACAACAATATCGGAAGTGTATATGAAAATTTGGGTAAATATCCAAAAGCACTTTCATATCATGAACGAGCACTTGAAATTCGTCAAAGAACACTTCCTCCGAATCATCATGATTTAGCTTGTTCTATCGGACAGAAAGGAATGGTATGTTCGCATATGGGTGACCATTCAAAAGCTATTGAATATTGTGAACGAGCTCTTAAAATTATCGAACATTCATTACCTTCTGATCATCCAGATGTTGAATTATATAAAAAAAATCTTGAATTTGTAAAAACTAAACTATAAACATATTTATCGTTTTGCATAAAATAAGACTTTTAAATGCAGAAAAAGATTCTTTTTTTTGTAATCTCAAAGACACATCTGCTTATTTAAATACATGATTTTTTTATTAATTCATTCGTATTTATCTTTTGTTTAATTAATTGATAAATTTCACTAATATCAGAGTGAGGGTGTGGGTGAGGGTGTGGGTGAGGGTGTGGGTGTGGGTATGGGTGTGGGTGAGGGTGTGGGTGTGGGTGTGGGTGTGGGTGTGGGTGTGGGTGTGGGTGTGGGTG